GGGCACAGACCATGAAATCGCATTTCCCAACGAGTATGAAGTCCACAGCACACATTGGAGACATCGTTGTGACCAGAATTACAATGGGGAAACGATCCGAGCACAAACCATGAAATCGCGGTTCCCAACGAGTATGACGTCCAGAGCGCGCATTGTAGAAAGTTCAGAGGTGACATTCACGACATCATTGCGACCAGAACTATAATGGGGGAACGATCCGGGCACAGACCGGGCACAGACCTTGGAATCGCATTTCCCAATGAGTATGCGGTCCGGACCGCACATTGGCGACATCCTTGTGACCAGAATTATAATGGTGCGCCCAGCCGCGCTCAGACAAAATGTACGTTTCACCACACGTTCGTGCACTCGACACGCACGATCTCCGCAGAGGGTTGCTCGAGGGCAAACCTTGAAACCAGAATTACAATGGGGAAACGCAAAATCGACAAAACCTTGTCACCAGAATTATAATGGCGGAACGCACCGCGCACACCAAAAATGTACGTTTCACCACACGTTCGCGCGATCGACACGCACGATCTCCGCAGAGGGTTGCTCACGGACAAACGCGATTCGCGTCTCACCACACGCGCGCGCGATCGATGGCCACGATTCCACGAGAGGGTTGCGTTTCGTAAGACCTGCTCGCACCGCCCCGCCGCCTAAAGAGAAGAATAAAGAAGAAGTTGGGTAGGTGAAGTTGGGTAGGTGTCTTAAGGAAGATGTCTACACCTACCTATCTTCACCTACCTATCTTCACCTACCTATCTACACCTACCTACCTACACCTACCTGTCTATACCCACTTATCAATACCTACCTATCAATATCTACTTCTGATGTACTTTGATATTGTTGATCTGATACTTCTACTTCATATGTTATGTTGTGATGTGATATTATTTTATCACATGATATGAGATGATATGATCTGACATTGATGTGATGTGATATGATATTAAAACATGATATGATATGATATGTTATGACATTGATGTGATGTGATATGATATTGATATTATAACCTGATATGATATAATATGATATGATATGAGATGAATAACCTATGAGGTGATGATTAGATGATGATGTTGTGAGGGTGAAGTAGGAGAAAG